AAAGATGTGACTAAAGAGAAAGCTGGAAGCAGAACCAGAAAGAACATTTACTTGTTCTTCATTGGCCTCCTTTCTTTTGGAATTGTGGATTCCCTTTCATCTTCTTCACCTACTGATTGGAGAAAAGTTGCAGCCCTTGCAGCCATTCTTGTGGCTTTAGTTTCTCAGTTCATCTATGAACAGAAAATGTCATCAGAAAGCAGTACGATATCACAGGAGGAGACCAACCAAGATGATGATAATGAAGAAGAAACTAAATGAAGCGCATCTATGTTTGCTCTGATTCATTGTAAATAGGAAGAAAGAAAAAGCTCACATCCTTCTACTTCTTGTGGTTGATTTCTTCCATTGTTGTGACACAGAACAGCTCTTACTCAGCACCCTTCCTTAACATATTGGCTTCACAAGTTATTAAAATACATTAAGTAGGCACAGTAAGAGTCAAGAAGAAGTGAATTTGATATGAGGATATATTCGTTTAGGTTCGTTTGTTTAATTTTTTTTTTTGGGAAAACTAATTTAAAAGTCCTTATAGTTTACATTAGTTTTGAATCAAGTCCTCAAACTTTTTTTCTTTTTTATTAGATCCTTTACCTTTCTACTGTTAAAATCGTTAGCCCTTACTGTTAAGTGATTTTTTTTTTAACCAGAAACTGTTAAGCAAAAATAAACACTGTTATCTCATCTCCTTACGCAACGTTCTCCCTTTCTCATCATCCTTCACATCTTGTCCTCTCCTTGAAATTTCTCCAATGCCGCAAGATTTCCTAAGAAATAGATTGTCAATCAATTGACCCATAAGATTCAGCATACATGCGACGAACTCCTCGGCGGAGCAAATAAATCGAATGTTCTACTAAAAAAAATCGAATGCATCTACCAATTAAAATTGCATCGAAGGAAAAAAGTTCATAGGATTTTCAAGAGCGAGAGGAGCATTCGATTTAACTCTTGAATCAAGAAAAACTCTTAGAAAAAAGAGAACCAGTCTTTAATTAGTAATAAGGTGAAGGACAGTGATAATAACACCTGAGAAAAAAATGGGAACAGAATCAAAGGGAGTGATTGAAGGAGCAAAAAACAAAGGGAGTGGAGAAGATAATAGAGAGATGGCTGTTAAGAAGTCTGGGGAACAGAGTAGGAGCTGTGCTATGACCCTTCTAAAAGTCATTTAGCAGTAGCGTGGGGGAGCAAAATAACACGACAAAGTGATGATCTGGAGAAGCAAGACTACACGATCAGAGCAGTGGAGGAATGATAAAGGCCCTGGGTTCCTACAAGACAAATATATGAGATGAATAAGTGGAATAGGAGGTTTTCAGAAGTTTGATGAATGATTTTGTGCTTGGACTCGCATCGTCAGAGCCATGAGCCTTCTTCCTTCCTTGGAGATAGGACTTGGTCAAAAAGGTGAGGAGGGATGGTGAGGTCAGGACTCAGGAGAACGCGGTTGGGAAGGAGATGTAATGAAATTTTTAACGGTGTTTGTTCACATTTAACGGTAAGGAGTACCGGTATTAATATTAGAAAGTTAAAGGATCTAATAAAAAGGAAAAAAAGTTTAAAGACTTGATTCAAAATTGATGCAAACTACAAGGACCTCCAAATTAATTTTTCCTTTTTTTTTTTTGAAATGAAAAGATTACATTTTTTAAAAAAAAATCTATAATGGAAAATCTTAATGAATACGAAATCAGTTTATAATAATTTCAGTGATCAAATAATTAATGTATTATGGTCAACTCGTGTAGTACGAAACTATGCTAAACGGGAAATTCTAATTATTCCAAATCAACAAAAGTTTATCAACCACAATCAAATTACATTTAATTACATTGACGCTCAAATTCTTCTAAACAACGAATCTAGTGACTAGTTTCCTAAGCTCCTGGTTAATAAATTAAAAGAATATTTGTAGAAGAAAATACAATAGAAAAGGAAATGGAATGAAAAAAGTGATTTTTAGATATGAAATGCCATTACATATATCCCTAGATAAAATTTAATAATATGAAAAATATTTGTTGAGTAATGATTATAGGAAATTAGGAATATAATGAATACTTTACATCTTGACTGGCATTGCGAAGGCATTACCTTTTATTCATGGTAAATAAAAGGGGGCCAAAAACTTGGGTTTGACAAGGTTGTAAAAGCTTGAATCTTTACTAAAATGAATGCATATAATATATTTGGAAAGAGGGGTATGCATATTTGAAAGAGATAGCTTAATTAATGCTTCTTCCATATCTAAATTTGCGAAATTAAACTCCAAAAATCAACCATTAGAGAAGTATTCAAAGCCATACAAATTAAGCTTCTACCATTAACCTAAAGCAGGAGAATAATAGGAAGACAGACAGAATCATTGGCTTGCTGTTAAAATGCCAATAGGAGAATAATGACACTGGTGAGGAGAAGTTTATCAGAATTCCTCAGTGATGATATTTCTTGATCCCTAGTTTATCAGAACCATGCATGATAGCATCAGGCCAAGTAGTGATCCAATTTCAATTCTGGTGATTATTATCAGGAAGCTTATTTAAAGGAGTTCCTAAGGTCAAGCATTTTGGATAACTCAACCAAAACAAGTTTGCACATCTTCTGTTCATTCATCCAAGTTACTCCTCCAATCCTGAATATAAGACCCTTATATACATTATATAAGGGTCTATATTTAGGATCAGAGAAGTAACTATCTATTGATTTTTCAAAGTAGGATTCAAGCATGCAAGCAAGAACAGAGATCACAAGCTCCAATTATAAATATAAAAAGCTAAGTGTAGATTCAATTTAGCTTTAAATATAATACTTGAATTTATTTTTCATATTTATTTATTTATTTTTCAAAATAGTCCCTATAGTAATTGCATATTTCAAAAAGCTTTCACTTTTAATACACATGGTTAATAAGAATATTTTACGAAAGACGATACTCATTTATCACAACTGACTAACTTAATCAATTTTCTTAATATTCACAAATTAGTTATTTAGTTTTTATACTAAAGATTTAAGGTAATATATAAGCAGGCTAGTGCTTATGAATTGTAACAATGTTATTGCCTAGCTTTGTGACTTTGTGTAGAGACTTTATTTTTCTTTGTGAAAACAAAAACATCATCAAATCCAATCGTCATTCTTCCATTTATAAAAGAATTCTGTAATTCAAAATGAGACATGGAATCGTGGAATAGATATTAATGTAAAACCGTGTTGCCAAGTGATCCATAAATAAAGGCCTTGAACAAATGACTTCTTCTCCACTTACCAAAATGACGCCTAATAAAGTTAGGCCATCACATGCCATTGGGATGCCAACCCCTCTCTGTTTTATATTCCATCCTCCGTTTTCCTTATGTCATCTTCAGGAGGAATGTCCACAACGCCAGGCCCGGTACACCCACACGAGCCCGGAAAAATACCTAGCCCAACCCTTAAAAACACAGCCCAATAAGAAAATGACACTTTTGGGCAGGATGACGGGTAGGGTAGGATTGCGGGCTAAGTATCTTACCCTATCCATTTGCCCTTACCCGAAATATCTATAGTAATATATTACTACTTATGGTCTTAAATATAAAAGTTAGTTAACTAGTTTAAATAAATTAAGAAAATAAGTTAAGTTAATTATTTGTGAAAAATAAATATTGTCTTTCTTAAAATATCTTTACTAATCAAGTTTATTAGCTAAAATTACTGTTATTAGAAGGACTATCTTGAAAAAAAATAAATATAAAAAAAAATAGATTGGAGTTTTATATTTAGAAACAAAATAAAAATCAAATAAAATTTTATGTTTTTTCGGATTGCTCCCGCCGCAGGGTAGGCTTCTCTCCTTTTCTTTTTGTCTCCGCTACGGTCCGCTGTCTCTTTCTTTTCCCCTTCTTTTTCAACCCTCCTCCAAGCCTTGCCATGTTACCTCTTCTTCCCACTTTCTCCTTAAACACCTCATCTATGCGCCCAGGACAATATGAAAAAAAACCCGGAAAAAAAATAAAGAAAAGAAAAGGTAGACACACAGGCATATGTTTATTTCTGTTATCTTGATATAATTGATTTTATTTTATATTTTTGCTAAAAATTGATTTTATTGTTAACTCCTATCAGTTTTTCTCAATCATAAGTATTAGCCCCTATATTCATAATCTATTAATTATGACTAGTATAAAGATGGATTATACAACATATAAGTTGCCAAAAAATACCAAATGTAAAAAATATTATTACATCTTGTCTTTAATATAAAAACTAAATAACTAATTTATAAATATTAAAAGATTAGTTAAATTAATTTTTTTGTCAGAATTAGTTAAGTTAGTTATTTGTAATAAATAAATGTTGTTCGTCGTAAAATACTCTTATTAATTATGTGGATTAGAATGGAAACCTCTTAACATGTGCAATCATAATATCACCTACTTTGGGTTTTTTAAAATTATAAAAATGATAAATTGAATTTGGGTCATCCATGACTTTGGATGGTCTAGATTAAGATAAACATAATAGTCCCTCTAGTAATTTGATCCTAAATATAAAATACCAATTCATTCTGTGACATATATTTATTTACTTTTTCCTAAATAGTTCCTATTATGACTGTAGATGTTAGGGGGTTTTTATTTTAATATACATTATTAATAAGGACCGAAAAGTAATAATATTTTTTACATTTGATATTTTTTTTGGCAACTTATATGTTGTATAATCCATATTTACGTTATAATTAATAGATCATGAGTATAGGCTATTTATGATTGAGAAAAACTGATAAAAGTTCACAATAAAATCGATTATATCAAGATAATAATAAATATGTGCATGTGTCATGTGTGTACCCCTTTTTTTTTTTCTGTTTTTGGGGTTTTGTTATTTTGTCCTCGGAGCATAGTCATGGATGAGGTGTCCAAGTTAGCGAGAGAGAGGAAGGAAAATGCAACCTGGCAAGGCTTAATGAAGAGTTGAGAAAGAAAGAAAATTTAATTAAAAAAAGAAGAGGGCAGCGAACAGTAGCGGAGGGGACAAGAAAAGGAGAGAAGCCTAATCCGCGCCCTAGCTCCCCTGGATCTCCCTCCATCCCTCGTCTCCCTCGATCTCCAGCTAATCTCGATTCAGACTTCAGTTTCTCACTCCGTCGCGTCTATCGTCTCCCCCCTCTCAGGTTTGTGTTTCTTGCTATTTTCCTGTTTTCATTTTCATTCCAGTTGCCCCATTTTTTCATCCTCAGTTCCTTGTTAGATTTCTTTGATTTGGTTTCAGGTATTGATAGTTAATTATACTGATAGCAATAATAAATTAGTTTTGAATCTTGAGTTTAAAATTGAATGATAGTTAATAAAAATCGTTGGGGTGATGATAAAATTCTTGTGTTGAGTTAAAAAGAGGAACTTTTCTTGTGAATAAGGCTTGACAGCTGATATACTATTGGCCTCGAATGTAATTGATACTTTATTTTTCTATTTTGAATCAAAGTCAGTAACTGATTGTTCATATATATGTGTGTGTGTGTGTGTGTGTGTGTGTGTAAGCTTCAGATGCCTAACTTTAAACGAGGGATGGATTTCTTATGAACTGTGTTAGCTGCTGGTTTATTCAAGTTGTTGTGTTTTAAAACTTTTTTTACTTATGAATCAATGAAATCAATACTAGCTGCTGATTTGGTGTGTGTTTTTTGAACTGTGAGATGTAATTTTTAGGTGTGGATGGAATTTTTTTTCCATATGATATTAGCATGGCATCACTTTTTGGGCAATGAAACCTGTCCAGCCTTTTTAGGGCTTCTACCGACAGGGTCGGGCTCGCACATATTTTGAGCTGGGCATCGGGCAGGGTCCCGCCCTGCCCAGCACCGTCTATGTGCACCCCTAAATCTTCACCATTAAGCAAAATGTTGGATTTTTTTTAATCTTATTTTTCTCGTAGCTTTTTGACTTCTGTGTCTAACTTGATGACAATTCATCCTTAAAAATTGTTTCCAAAAGAGACAAAGCACAATGGCCATATCACTTCGCAATTGGATTTAGACATAATGATCTTTCTTGTTGAACCATGATCGTTAGATTTAGTTGTTGTCATAGAGTTTTCTTCCTTTAAAAAAAACTGAACATGAAAATACATATATGTAATTGAACGACACATTTGGTAATGCACATGTATATCTTTTAAGAGCGAAAACACTGCAACATTAAAAATGGCAGAATTAAATGGCCTATTTAGAAGTTTATGCATGCATCAACAAGATTTAAAAAAATTGAAAAATTGCGTCGAATTAATAAGCTCTTCATGCATTAAAGATAGATAATAATAATAACAATACATCCTTCTGATCTTGAGTTTATTGAAGAAATGTATTAATATTTCTTTATAAGGATTCAAAACTTCCAAATCGTCGTTTTCATTTTCTAGAGTTTGATCTGAGTATGAGCAGGGAGGTTAGGGTTCTAAACCCAAGAGAGTAAAACCCGTCGTATAACCCCTATCTAATCCGATTCTGTGCTTGAACCGATGAGTCACACTGCTTCAGTTTCCATTTTATTAGCCACTTTTTCTGTTCCATCAACATAAATGTAAGCTAGGCTGCTTTTTTTTTTTTAAAAAAAATTTACATAGAGAAGATTTTTTAATTTTTAGACTCCAACAGTCCATCCTTACCCGACCTTAATCGTAACTGAAGGCTGACAAGAACTTTAATTTATCTTGTTTTTAAATGGAGACCAACCGACCCAAATATTTTGTAATTCGGCCTTCCGGAAGAGCAGTTTCATTGTTGCCAGAAATTGCGTGCTTTTCAGAAGAACATCCTAGGTTCATGCTTAAAATACGATGAAACAGCAATTTCACAGCTTCGATTGAAATGGAGGGTCCTCCTTCCAGCGATTTTTGTTCCGTGTGCCATGGAGACTACAACAATCCTTGCCAAGCCAATTGCTCTCACTGGTTTTGCGGAAGATGTATTATGCAAGTGTGGCACCATGGATCTACTGTCAGGCCATGCAGATGCCCCTTATGTCGCCGTCAAATTACATTGCTGGTTCCAACTGAGGACTTTTTAAGGCAGCGTTATGACCCTGAAGTTGCTGAGGTTCTACAAGGTATTGAAGCATACAATCGTCTGTTTGGTGGTCAGGCAACTGGTCTGTTTCAGAGAATGCAAGATCTTCCTTTTCTCTTGCGAAGGCTACTGAGGGAGCTGATGGATCCTCACAGATCACTTCCTCTTGTCATTAAGGCTCGTGTCTATATGGCAATGATATCAAGTGTTGTTTACATTGTAAGCCCTGTTGACATTATTCCAGAAGCGATGTTGGGAATATTTGGTTTGTTGGATGATCTCCTTGTTGCGCTCCTCTGCTTCCTCTATGTTGCTTCTCTTTACAGATCATTGCTCTATTTCCGTCATGGGGGCTCTCGTGTCTGAACTTAATCCTTGATGTTATGCTTATTTACATTGTTGTTTCATCCATAATTTGTTGTATGCTTGTCTTTTTCGTTTTCCATTGTAAGTCCTGCTGACATTATTCCAGAATCAATTTATGTTTTATAAGGTGTGTCAGTTTATATTTTTAATCTAAACAAAAAAATACGATGAAACATGTGAAGATGGGCCATTCATTTAATCGTTCTTTAAAATATTATTTGGCAAAAAATTAACTCATAACTCCTAATATTATAAATTTGAATTTTATTGCAGATGAAAAAGCCTTGTTAAGTACTACTGTTGATTCTTAATATAAAAGTTTATTTGATTTTTAATTTGATGTTAAATATAAAACTTAAATTTATTTTATCTTTTATATTTTTTTTTTCAAAATAATCCTTGTAAGTTATACATATTAAAAGTTTTATCAAATAATAATTCTAATTGGTACACATTATTAGTAAGGTTATTTTAGAAAAGATAATACATATTTATTTCAAATAACTACTTTAATTAATTTCTTTAATCTTCTCAAATTAGTTAATTAAGTTTTATATTAAAGACAAAAAATAAATAGTATCTCTAGTTAGCATTTTTCAAGTCTTAAAATTCAACTCACCTAAACTATCTTGTTTAAAAAAAAAAAAACAAGAAGAAAGCACGTTAACAGTCTCTGTTCTCACAAGCTTTTGGACCAGATATGAGCCAGGATCACAGGCTCCTTCAATTCAATCCAATTGCTAGTGAAAAAGCACATTCGTACATTCGTAGATTAGTCGTGAATAACTTCATCATGGTTTCACTGAATCAGATTAAGCTTAAGCCGACAAGTATGGTTCATTACTTGGGCCATGAAAGACATCTCCTTAATGTTTCTCTCAAAGATCTGAGAATCTAGCAAAACTAAATCTCCTGTGGTTCTAGTGCCATGTCATAAACACGAATAACTTCTCACGACTAATACCATGAGCAGGAAGGAAGATGGTTAAGGAGAGAAGGGATGGCAATTAGCAACTAGAGGGATAAGCATTAAGCAACTGTTAAAATTTCTATACCGAATAAATTTGTACATTATGGTAAAAAAGAAAAAACACATCAAGTTAACACATGCTGTCGACTTGACATGCTAGTTGCAGTAATATTCCCCAGTTTCAAGTTAATCAGTAGCTCCTACACAAATCTGCAAAATTGTTCTTCTTTTCCAAACATGGAGGGCCAACCTTCTGCACTCTTATTTCTATGTATCTGCTAGCAGTTTGTCTTCTTCTCCTTACTCTGTATCCACCTATCTTATGTCCTCACAACTTTTCCTGTACCTTTCAGGTCCATCCTCGCCCACATCCTACATCACTAAAACCACAAAAACAGTTCAAAATTTAGGACACACTGTGCACAACAGAACCATTAAAAAACCAAGTCATAATATCACAGAAAGCCAACTTTGCTACAGTATTACTGTTGAAAGCCCTAAAGGAACGTAACCAACAATAACATGGTCTTAGCTATGAAGCTGGAGGATTATAAGTTGCGGATATATTGAAAGATCAACAAATTCTTTCAATTCAATCCAGCCTGGAATGTACATAGCTGTGCTGATATGGCAAAACTAAAGTGATTTGTTGGGACCATGGCCTGGGGTAAAGTCACATGTAATAAAGTATGATTAGTGGGTGGAAAAGGAAAAGGGACTTAGACAGAGGTACAGTGTTATACTCTAACAATCTATGACGAGAAGCAAAACAAGGTGGCGTGAGCCCACCTTGTTACCACTTTCGCAGGAATATGTAACATGCAAAAATAAAATAAAAATTCAACTACAAAAATCCTTCACAATTATAAGCCTTGTAACCTTATACCAACCAGCTAACCTTTTGCAGTATAGAGACAGAAAAAGAAACCAAATCGTTCTCATATTGATATTGTCAATGGATCCGTATGCATGTCCCATGCCTTTTCTGGGAACAAGAGGAACTAATATGGAAGAATAGGCAAAGAATCATGCCCACTGGAAACAGCATTTTTAGAGCAAAAGAGACATTGAAAATTCTTGTTATTCCAGAGTAACTGAAGAAGCATGCGTTGCTACTCACTGTGAAAGAAAAATGCAGGGTGCTTTATCCAACCAACCAATACACAAGCATATGTTGTTTACACAACAAATGGAGCAAAATTAACTAACATCAAACCAAAGAACACCTTAAGGACCTTCAATTTTAGTACAATCGAAGTACACTCCTTGCAATAGAATGTGCCTGGTTCGACCTGCTTTTCACGAACCCATTTCTCCGGCTGCCTCTCAGTGGCGTCAAGTAGAACCTTAAGAGACCATTGTCGAAATGGCTGGGAGAATACCTTGCACTCCGATTCCTTTCCAACGCAAACTCATCTTTAGCCTTCTTTCCCTGTCCATTAGCCTGAACACCATTCTTCCTCAGAGGGCCATCAAATGATCCACCAATGTTTTGTGCATTTCTCCAGCTCACACTGCTGTTACTTCGAAACACCTTGGCATTGAAAGTACTCCTGGCATCTACATTGCGATTCCCTCTTAAGTCTGGCCAAGATTCTGAGTAAGAACGTTCAACCCCGTTAGCTCTACTATACCGATCTTCATCCTCATCTTTATTTCCACCTCTGAAAAAACTCCAAATGCTCCAAGCCTTGCTCCACCGGCCAGACTTCTTAGACCCTTTCCGGTCACCACTCCCAATAACAGATGAAGTGTCTCTAAAACCCATATCAAAGGTCTCAGAGCTATCATCCCTCATTGAATTCGAGTTTGAATCTCTCAAGTCTCTATCGGCGAAAACCGTTTTTTGGCCATGCAAGTAATCGGCAGACGCAGGAGTCACCTTGGCGTTTGAAACTGGCTTCAATTCATCCATCTCCGCTACGACTGCTGCTGCAGTTTTCCTAATCGAGTTGGACCTATCAAGGCTCTTCCTTCTCCTAGAATCCGAATAGTACTCTTTGGTCAGCGCGGACCCACCAGGAGCCATATCATTTTCATTAATCGCATTCGCGGGCTCTTCAGTTAGGATGTGAGTATCCGTCCTCAAAACGGGAACTGGATCATCTTCCACCACAGAAAGCATAGTGGGCATTCTCGGAAACGTTCTTCCGATCAAGTAGCCATCCCAGGAAGCCCTAGGCTCATCTAGAGAGTAACGAGGATCATCGAACGACATTCGGCCAGCATCAAGCGAGAACCTTGGATCGGTGTCGCACGATCTTCGCCCAAATCCATAATCTGCGATCTCCGACTGTGTATCTCTGAATTGCCTCCCAATAGGCTTCTCCACAGGCAGTCTGGCGGACCCACCACCATGTCTGCGTTTCTTCATCTTCTGATTTTGCCTCCACTTCTGTAATTTCTTGCTGAAAACGGAAGCCGCAGACCAGAAGCTTCCTGCAATCTCTTTGAAATCTCTCCCAGAAGTCTTCTTCGTCTGGGAATCGAGATCTATGTGGTCCTTCATGGTCTTTATATCTTCCTCAACGACTAATTCCGGCTCCACCTCTTCTTCCACAATTTCTTGAACCCGATTCTCAGTCACATTACCCACATTTGGCTCCTCCACAACCATAATCTCGTCTTCATGATCTTTAACATTTTCTTCCTCATCCCCATGTTCGTCCTCATCCTCTTCTTCTACCTTCGACACGAATGCCGGGCCCTGATAATTCGAAGAAGAGGCTAAATTCCTCGTTTCAACCTCAACCTCAGCTCGGGGAGCTTCATTCTTCGGAGGGTTGCGTCCGTCGTCCTGATTGAAGAGGGACCAGAGAGTGCTTCGAGCCCTTACGTCACAGGACCTCCTCTGGGGCTCAAAGACACCCGAGAAACCCTCGTTTTTGGAAGCAGAAAACGACTTTGTCCGGCGAAGCTCCGGCAAGAATGAAGAAGACGAAGTGGGTGGCCGGTTTCCACGACCTGAGGCGTTCCCCCCGCCGCCTCCACCACCAGAGGAGGGCCTGAAGATGGCTTTAAGAGCGGCGGCGGCGGCGGCGGAGGAAGTTGGTGGTTTCCGGCTTGAGGAACTGGAAGACGAGGAGTTGGGATCGAGTACGGCAAGGCGCTCGCAGAGGCATAAGGGGCAAAAGCCTGTGAAATGCTCTTGCGGGTGGCGATCACAGGAGGTGGAAGGTCGATTGGGCTGCAGCAACTGCTGCTGCTGTAACAATGGCGGTGGCGCTGCTGCAACAGCGGAATCGACGGCGGGATTCATAACAGAAAATGGAGAATGAACCTCTCCACTCTGCTCATGTTACGATCGAAGAAACCCAAGTGAAAGGAAGGTGAGAAATGAGAGCGTGCGCGCTCTTGTCTCTCTCAGGGTCTATGACAAGGAAAGAAAGGAACAGAATCAGAAAGAGAAAGAGAGAGGGTGTGTGTGTGAGAGAGAGAGAGTGAGAGAGAGGGGCGTCTGTTTGGTTCCAACAGACAGCGAGAAAGTGAGAGATAGAGAGAGGGGAGGGGAGAGAGAAGCGACAGAAGCAACGGGAAAATATAAAAAGGATTGGAAAAAGGAAAAGGAGAAACCGGGTGGAGGCCGAACAGGGAATTAGGGATTACCCAAACAGGGCATAAGCTGTATCATTAAATTCTCTTTTGAGTTCCCTGCGAGACTTCTTTTCGTTTTGTTTCGCTTTAGTCTGTGAGTATGGTGTGTTGGTTTCTAGGGGCACTCGCCTCCGAAATGACCCTTTCGTCCTTCTGAGTTGTCACTATTTACTGAATATTACGCTGACCCAACCAGAAGTCTTTTTGCTGCCAAACCAAAAAAAAAAAAAAAATTTCCCTGAGGTTCGAGCGACTTGCTGCTCCTAATGAAATATCTTCATGACAAATTTAAATATTTGGATGTCAAATTATTTTGATGTGTGGCTTGTCAATTATATTTTAGTTACTCATCTAATTCTTAATATAAGATTTATTTAACTAATTTGACTAGATTAAAAAAATTAGGTAAGTTAGTTAATTATAACAAATATGACATGTTTTTCGTAAAATACCATAATAATATTTTTTTAATATCCTCCCTCTCTCTTTTACTCGATTATAGTTGAAAGAGTATCTATAAGGATAATTTAAAAAAATTGATAAATATGAAAAATATATCTTATATTTTGAATCAATATTAACTCAACAATTAGATACTGGAAAAATATAATTTAATTGAATACTCAAATGACGCTGTACTCTCTCTTGATTTTAAAGAATGTACATCATTCTTACACAAATGCTTTTAAGATTCTAACTTGGGAAAATCTCACATTTAGATTCTTTAATTATTGATCGGCGTATGAATAAGGCTTTGTATCCATGTACAATTCACATACATGCGACTTCCAATTGTGTTATCGATCAAATACTAAGTACAAACACATGCTAATTGATTCTCCTTCGTGAATATCACATGATCAGTGCCCAAACTAGGATGCTAGGTTAGTGGGGCGACATTATAATTTTAAAAAATATTACAAATAAATATTAATTGTTGCCACCTTAAACTTTGACATTTTTCCCTATATAGCTCCATCTTTAGAAACTTTGTTACCTACACTATTATAACAAATTAAGATATCATCTTGGTCACAAATCAACATACTACCCCGTCCTAAATATAAAAGTTAATTGACTCATTTAAGTAGATTAAGAAAATAAATTAAGTTACTTATTCGTAATAAATAAGTGCTGTCTTTTCTAAAATATCTTTGTCAATCAAGTTTATTGGTTAGAACTATCATTATTAGAAAGAATGTCTTAAAAAGAGAGAGAGACAAAATAAATTGGGATCTTATATTTAGGACCAAAATAAAAGTAAATGAGGTCTTAATTAAAAACAGAGGTATTAATTATCAAGGCACAAGATTTATTTGATGTCATACAAGGCAAACCAGACCCCTTCCTTCCATGCAAATTGGAAGAATTAATATTTCTTTTTTGATTAATTAATTAGTTAATTAATTAAGGCTTCTTCTTTCTTCTTTTATTTTCATTTTGATTTTATTTTTTGGTCTCATGGGATTCTTTCGTTTTTTCAAAGATTCCTCTCGAGACAAAAAGTGTTTTTTAAATAAAAAAAAATCACGCCTTCCATCTCCAACACATACCTTTTTTCTCACATATCACTTTCTTTTTGCTTTGATTTTTTTTTTTTTTGGCCTCTCTTATCTCTTTTGCTTTCCGTTTCTCCTTTTTCTTCTTTTGCTGCGTTGCTTCCCCAGAGTTTTCCTTTTTGTTTTTCGGCTTTCTTTTCTCCCAAGCAGCTTCAAATCCACATGTACCCCTTTCCCCACTTGCCTCTTCCTGTTTCTATCACAACCAAACAAATCCCAACAATCTCCGCAAGCCCCACTTTCAAACTCTTTTTTCTATTTTATTCTTTTGACCACCTAAGCTGGCCGCAAATTAATTAAATTTTTAAAAAAATCTCTAAAATTTTAAATTTCTAAATAAAAATAACTACAAAAATATGTTATCATTTATTTTTTGAAATATTTTTAATTGTTATGAAAGTGCAATGGATAAGACTGATTTAGAATTTTGAAGTTAAAGGTTTTTTTTTGTTGAAATTCTTCATTAATTAAACTTTGTTTTCTTTCTTTTAACCTCAAATCGTAATATTATACCAATGCAATAAATAACAATAATAAGAATAGGATCATATCTGTTCTGAGTTCCAATCTCCAAGGTATGTGTATGTTAGTGTGTACTGTAGCTTGTAATGCTGCCTGGTACTTAATGGATTGTTATATATTTTAATCCGAACAATTCAATAAGGAAGGAGAGACCGAGAGACAGACAAGAAAACTATTATTGCTTGGAATTTTCCTTTTTTAACAAATGTTTTATATTTTTCATTATTAAAAAATCTAGAAACAATCAAATAAGGAAGGAAGATAGTAATGTCTCATTAATAATTTTGGATTCTCTTAAATGTTTTGCCCCAAGGAGGGCATTATGCATATGAGTTTCATAAAGGAAATGCCCTTTTTTTCTTCTTATTTTTTTTTCCTTCTTTACCCTCTTAAGTATTTTAAAGAATCTAAATTTCTCACTAAATTAATAATATGCTTCAAAATCAGGATGCTTTGAACTATATGCAATAAAAGTGAAGAAAAATATAAGTTGTGTCCAAGTGGAATCTGTAGGTAAAAGGGTAAAATTCACTCCTCTCTTTAGTTTAATTAGAATAATTCTACAAAGAATCTTGCTAGAAGTTATAATATTCTGGAGCAACAAAGAAATTATTATAAAATCATGTATCTAATTGTACTACTCCAGTGCTTACTATAAGACATTGTTTGACTTTTATTTTGGTCCTAAATATGAGACCTTAATCCACTTTTTCTTTTATATTTATACATTTTTTCTAAGATAGTCCTTCTAACAATGGTAGTTTTAGCCAATACATTTGATTGACAATGATATTTTAGGAAAGATACCACTTATTTATTACAAATAACTAACTTAACTTCGTTTCTTAATCTCCTTAAATTAGTCAATTAGCTCTTATAATTAGAACCAAAGGTAGTATTATGTAAATTGAGCTAGTATTTCCATCTTTTTAAATAAAAACTGTGAAATATCTTTTAAATAAAATAGTAGTATATGGCATGTTAATTGTATTTACATTTTGGCATTTGATTTGATAGGATTTACTCGTATGCTATATTTTATTATATTTTACTTGTTGTAATTATGACAGAACATTTTGTATTTATTAAAATATGTTAACTTTTTTAATACAAACATTTCTCCATGAATACTAAATAGACAATTTACTTCATTTATCATCTCTTCTCTCTTTATTGTAATTATTATGGAATATTTTGTATTTATTTAGTTTGTGGATGTGTCAAATAAAGTCCCCATTACTTTAGTAAGAGGTAGATCAAGATTATAAGGAGAAAATGTGTGAACTTAGAGAGTAAATGGGCTAAGAAGAAGGTAAATCTCATACGCACAAGAAGTCATCAAAAGGCAAATGTAGTTGAAAACTGACGATTTGAGGGACAGTTTGATATGATTTTGCCCCTATCCTATGTTTGAATGTTTGTATTTAATAGGGTAATTTATTCTTTTGCTGCACATATATAAACCTTTCTGAATGAATAGAGCAGTATGACATACTTCTTTCTATATTTTTCTAGAATATTTTTTCTTTAAGCTTACCTATTTCTTTCATAACACAAAAGATTGAAAATTTTATTATGAGAGTTGCTTTTGCATTGTAATGCATTGAACACAAACTGATGAAAAAACAATTACACATCTAAAGTAGTTTGATATTGAAGTTTGTAAAGAGCAAAGTGTACATCAAGGGATTATTGGCTTTCCAGATTTAAGGTATAAAAGGGTTCACATGAGAGCATGAAAAGAATTGACATTTTAATGAACAAAGTCCCTTGTAAAGGGAAAAAATGACGAAGAAAAAGAAAAAGCCATCTCTCTTAACTCTTAAGCAATTAAGTGAAAGTAAAGGCCACAAGTTCCTCTTCTTCCTCCTTCTCTACTCCAAAAAAGGAACATCCTTTTATCCACACAAGTTCTTTCCATATTCCAAACTCTCTTGGTCAATCAATTTTTGGCATCCCATATAATATATCTACCTAACTCTTTCTCATTAATTAACATGCTTGTATTTTCTAACATTCTAAACTCTTTATAATTCCATATCTTTCCATATTCTTTTATGCCATTTGCTCAATACGCGCATGAATTAGAGATATTGAAACAATTAAATGAAATGAAATTCATATATAATTTATCCCAAAATAAATAAGGTACTGCTAATTTGTGGAATAAATTTTATCTTACATACATGAAAAAAAAGAACAAAAGATATTTTATTTGGTGTTATACCGCACTTACATGTTAGAAATGAGGCTACCATTACATGCCTATTTTTTCAACACTTTTAAGTTAAAGTATTTTTAAAAAAATCAATGAGTTAAAATGTTAAATTTAAATTTACATTAAAATAATATTTTTAGAATTTAAAGAATATAAAATGAATAATCGATTTAGCTCCATAAGAAAGGAAATCCTTAAAAATTTAAATTAAATGTTGCATGTTCACACAACCAACTTGTCTTCTTTGACATCTGACCCTAACATATACCATATAATAAAACCAATGAAATGGGGGGCCCACCAGGGAAGTTCATGGGAAGCCCATCAAACACATACGTGCATCCCACCGCATGTGATGGCAAAATCAGTGTTGCGTGTTGGCTCCACGTGTACCATTTATTTGCTGATCGGTTGGTTTTCACGGGTTGCATGTATTTTCATTTTCCATTTCTACTTTATTCTAACCATCCTATTGTATGTGCTTATCTTTCATTCATGTTATCGTTAACAAAAACTAGTACTCCTCCGATTCTTATTATAAGACCCAATTTGACTTTTTATTTGATCCTAATTATAAGACCCAATCCATTTTGTCTCTTATATTTATGCATTTTTTT